AATCTACCAGGGAAAACGGAGGAAAGGGAGGATCACACAAATCTGGTGACTAAATAGAAAACGAACATTTTCATTTTTTGGTTGAAAAGATAATGACGACTATTACTTTGTACAATACAAAATAAAGGGTCCTGTATACTGCTCCAACCCCTAAAACACGCACACAGTCTTTTTTTCTGTTTAAGTTTTGAAAAAAAAAAGAAGTTATTCATCCTTCCTTTAGAAATCAAATGCTTACTTGGTCTGGTTATGACCAGTTATTCTGACCAATGCAAACCTGGAAACAGTGAAAACACCCTGTGACAACAACATTAACAACATAATATAAAGTTCATTAAAAGTTATCATTCATTGCGAGTTGTGTCCAGCCGATGAATGTAATCCTAATATTCATTCTCTTCTAGCTCTGGTTTTGGTCTCCACCAACTCCTCAAGAAAATATCTCTCTTTAGCTGTTAACTGCTGCACTATGTTCGCCAGCTAGTCACTAACTGTGTCTGTTTGCTCTTTGGTGCTGAGCAGGTAGTGTGAAGTGGGTTTTCAGAGTCTTGTCTCTAAAAGCAGTTGACCAATGCTGCAGCTGAAAACGTAGCTTAGAGCTGTAAGCTGAAAAAATGTGTTGAAACTCACTATTAAGCTCCATAAAGATTGTCACAAGTAAACATAAATGTAAAACAAGATTACTCCAGCAGATTAAAATTGGTCTTTCAAGGATCATGTTTTCTGTATCTGGCTGATCCTGAGACAATGACTTAATTCAGCCAAACGCACATGATAAAAGACTTTAGTCTATTCACTGATCTGTGCACTACATACAAGGCTTTCAATAGATGTATTCAAGCCTCTGCTGTAAAGTAAAATTACTCGTTGGTCGATTGCAGTATAAACTGTAGACGTATTGCCTCATTGTTATGTTTATTATTCATGTCACTGTGAATGGGGCGAAGGCAAAGCACTTCCCGTCATTGTTGGAGCAGATGTTGAAACAGACATTATTTTTCTGCTTTCTTTCACCTCGTTATTCTTTGTCTTTCACTCTCTCTCTTGTTTAGTATTCTTACTCTTACTGTTGTTACTGGGGTGTGTATGCCACACTGACGTATGTAGCCCACCTGGCCTCTAAGGCAGTATGTCCTTGGAAGTGCACAATGAATTGCACTGAGCTTCTGTTTCACACCAGTTTGAAAAAGAGAAATTTGCAGATGTGACCTTTTATTCTCCAATTATTTCCATACAGTTCGGCCTCTTTTCCTATCTTGTTTCTTGTTATTATTATAACAAGCTGCGAGAAAACTGATCTTCATTTTCGAGCTCTCTACATACAATGTGATCCCAAAATTGTGATTCTGCTTTTTCTCAGCCTTCTTGCATACACTGGGGCTTTTGAATATCACAAGCTATTAAAAATAATTGTATTTTCTCAACCATTATTCCTCAGTGAGATGCGGCTTATAGCGTCCAATTGAGAAATTCTGTAATTCACTTACTGCAGTGCAATGGTAAGTGACTCCCCTAGTGACTCTTTGTGTCTTAAAGGAGTGTGTATATGTGTGTGTGTGTGTGTGTGTTTGTGTGTGTGTGTGTGTGTGAGTGTGTTCTTGTGCATTTATATGGAGGGGGCACTGTGGTTCAACCCTTTGCCCACTCCAGAGACAGGAAATGGCTCCAATATGGGCCTGAGTGTGGCCTCCTTCAAGGCTCTGGGGAGTGATTTAGGCCTCTTGTCAGGACCAGAACTGAAGGATCAGTGAAAAATACAGATGTTTTGTTTGGAGCATTTGAAACCATGCATCTCTGGTAGGCTTCACGGGGTCCCAAAGGTTTATTAATAGTGTCAGTGGGGTAGCAGATGATTAGCTGATATGTCAAGAAAGATTTGTGTCTAGTCCGATATTTGCATTTAAAAAAGATGGGGTGTTACAACTGATAGATTTGTAATTTACATGCTTTTTAAAAACATTTAATTGGAATCTACCAAAATGTATTCAATGTTTTAGTCTGATCAGGCAGGTATTGCAATACCAAACATTTCTATACTGTTTTACATCAGCACACTGACTTTAGCATGAGGAGATAAATTAGATTCTTTCCAGGACTAATGCTGTAATGCTTGCAAATCTTTGGACTGTGTGCAAATATTCTACCTAGATGGTCAGAGAGGCAGACGACTGTCTTGGCCGTGATGCTGGAAGAGATGGTTGTTTACACAGAGCATATTTGCAACCGTCTGGAGAATTATCTCTCCCAGGAATTTTTAGGGCCACACTTACAGGCTCCTCAACGTCAGAGAAGAAGACAGTGGTTGCTACTTGTCGTGTGTTTGTGATGTTTTATTGCTTTCTTGGCAAGGATCATCAAGGATGAACAAAGTAGAGATTATTTAAACAGTTTCAGTATATTATTCATTATGCGACACATACTGTACTTACGTAAAGATTTGAGGTACTTTTAATGTATTTGAGTATTTCCTTTTCATGCTACTTTATGTTTCTACTCCACTACAATTCAGAGGGAAATATCGTAGTTTTTACTCCAATGCATTTATTTGACAGCTATATAACATTTTGAATGCAGGACTTTTAATGAAGTATGTCTTTAATGAATACACACAATGAATATAAAAAAACACAAAAAGGTTAACAAGTTAAAGTGAGGTTAGCTTAGGCATGTTAGCCAAGTTAGCTAGAAGGCTAACGAAGAAAAAGCATCAAGATATGCAGTCGCAAGGTCTCAGCTCACAAAACGCTGATAAGTTAAAACAGACATGTATGCACTGTAGCTTACAGAATACCACATCTCCACCACAACTACGAAAACTAATTCTCACCTTACTCCGAACAGGAACCTTGAGGGGCCTCACGGAGCAGGATTAGTGGGTTAACTTCCCCTCTTTACTGGGGCTTTAAGGTGTCACGAACCACGAAAAGGCTCAAGATGAAACTCTGTTGTCAAGATTTTAACAAAGCTACAGACCAAAACTTCCAGCAGCACTTTTTATTCAGGCTCATAGGGCTGGTAATAAATGTCAGCTTATGAATGTTAGCTTGCTGGAAATTAAGCTCAGTATTAAAACAATTTAGTCTTGTGTTATGCCAATGTATTATTCAGTGATTGGATGTCGTCTATACTTCAGATAGATATTCCTGTTTTCAGGAACTGGAATCCTGTTTATCATCATCTCTGTTTAATTCTTTAATTTAACACAGCTTGGAGGTGCTGTAAAAATCCTTCAGAAACAGCATAACAATAAATGGAGTAGTCATAAGTCTCCAGTGCACAATACAGTCTCCTTGTCTGGAAATGTTTCACAGCTGGTGGGGATCGAGCCACCGGTACCTGACACAACTGACCATACAAGGCCAGTTGAGTGTGGGACTCGTCCTTACTGTCAGATTGAATTTTGGCTCAATGTTCGCAGCAGCAACACTCAAAAACACCTTCAAATGCAAAATCGCATGCAACATTGAGACACATTGTTGTGCCACATCAAGGAACAAATTACCATTGTTCTATACTACACCAGTAACTACTTTAATAACAGCTGAACTTCATTATGTTGTTCCAGTTCCATGGCCCAGGTTTTGTGAATGCTGCCTCATTAACATTCTAAGTTACACCTGTGCTTTTCCTGCAAAAAGACCTCCAAGACCCGATGACACTTCTCCTTTCCTCCCTGCTGTCGTGACTCATGACCAATCCTGCTCGATACCACAAAGTAACTAAGACAACATGAAGAGAGTACTGAAGTGGAGGAGACAGAAGGGGAGTGAGGTTAAGTGGAGGGCGTTTAAGAGTTGTTTTTTGCTACATCATCATCAAAAATGGACCTCTGCCAAAAATAAAGTGGTTCTATAATAACTTGCAGCTCAATCATTATGCAGCCTCACAGCTATAAATAGTAAACAAACATTGTAATAAATTGACATTAACGAGCTGGTATCTCTGTTAAGTATATTTGAAGCCTGTCTTCAGAAAAAATATATAAGTTGAGATACTCTCAGTGTTTGAGTTGTGTATCCCAACGTAATAAAAAAAAGCTATTACATGGAGAGTTTCTGCAGAATCAGTTTCATGATTCGGAGTATAAGAAAGGAGAAGAAGAAAACTAACAGTCTATTTCCTACTCGCAGCCTGCCACCTTGTGCTGACAGTTTATATGGCATTGTGGCTTGTTGGTCTGAAAAACATTAACTGTTTATGCTGTGTCTCTATATTTTTCTGAATATTAAGCTGATACAAAGTACACATGGCAATGGCGTTACTGTTTACATTAAGGGGGTTGCTGTCAACATCGTTTTATCAGCTAAATCCTGTACATTACATCAGTGTAAATATGTCTTTTAGATCAAATTTCTATAATAAAACAAATCACCAGTCGAAAAAAATGGTTTGCTGAAAGCAATGCTACCTTTTTAAAAAATACCTTGTTGAACATTGACACAGTTGCACTCATTCGAAGAGGCCCATGTCGTTGACACAGTCAATAAATCAAGGGTCTTTCTTGTTAATTTGTAAAAGCTCAAGTGACAAGTTGTAATCACTTTATTGTCAGTAACATTTGTAGATAAACTCAAATAAAAGTACATTACACTTAAACACATTTAAGTTAATGTCATTGTTCTCAGCTCACAGTTTCTGAGTTTCAGAACAACAGTAAACTGGTAGGACATTTTGGGAGGGTGTCATAATTTTCACTTTTTTGTAAACAACCACAGTTCCTATTTTTTAAATTTGCATTTTTATATTCCAATATTATTTTACTCAACTTTAAAAATAAAGAAACTATCTATCTATCTATCTAAACATCATACCAAATAAATCTGCATATTATTAGTTGTATGCAATCAAGTATTCATAACGTTACAAAAGCTCTTTTTACATTACATTATAGTTGAATCACTGTGTTAAATGTATTAAACTGTCAGATGTACAGTATTTCCGATGGCACGTGAAGGCAACAGGCGAGATGCGTTCACTGACAATAGACGTCAGAGCCACCATGTTGGATCAGGAAGTAGGCAGAGCCGATGCAGGAATCCCGAGCTGAGCTCACCGTCAGCGGCTGTGTTTATTCGATCGGTCGACCGTTTCCCCCGATCTCACCTTTTTTAACATTCAGGTTACATGCTGCGTGGCTTTCTGGTCCGTCGAGGTAGGCGCATTTCTTCGGATTTGACCGTTTTGTAGCACCAGCTATGGCATCTATCAAGCAGAGAAACTCGGGCCTCGTCCAGCGGAGGACCGAGGCCATCCGCAGCGCCGCCGACAAGGACAGGGACTCCGCCGACGAGGAGGACGAAGCGCGCCGCGGGGAGGAGGAGGACGACGACAACGACAAGGGGGACTCGAAGGAAACCAGACTCACGTTGATGGAGGAAGTGTTGCTCCTGGGCCTCAAGGACCGAGAGGTGTGTGTGTGTGTGTGTGTGTGTGTGTGCTGGTTTTAATCCGTCAACAAGGCTATAGCTATATCAACGTCAGCTAACGCAATGTACTTTGCGTCAGCAAACGGCTAAAAAGTGAATTTCGTTTATTTAGGCAAAATGTCGCTCATGTTTGCTTGAACACAACAGCTGGAAGAGTCCTGATTTAAAGGCGTTTTAACGTTAAACTGGTTAGGTATGTCAAGTAGCGTTAGCTTGTGGTTGAACTGAATGTGCCGTGCCTTAAGGTAATAATTAATGCTGTTGTTATAACGCCATGGTCTCGCTCCCAAACCTGTTTGCTGAATGAATTCAACTACACGACGTTATGTGAATGAAACTGTAGTTTCTACGTAGCTTGTTGGCAGTTTTCTTGACAACTTGCCAGCAGCGACGTGTGACTCCTTTTCAACCTGGAAGTAATTCCTGAAATTCCAACCAACACGTCACCTAAGTTCACAAGCGCTGCTGCACCGTGGCTCATTTTTCTTCTTCTTCTTCTCCTCCTTAGGGCTACACGTCTTTCTGGAACGACTGTATTTCTTCCGGTCTCCGCGGGTGTATGCTGGTGGAGCTGGCCCTCAGAGGGAGGCTACAGCTGGAGGCCTGCGGGGTGAGGCGGAGGAGCCTGCTTTCCAGAAAGGTGAGACACTTGCTTTGTTTTAGGGATTAGTAATAGTCTTCTTACCAGGAAATGAATCCCGTATCTTTCTTTAAAATAACATACTAGGATTATGTGCGTTTTCAAATGGAAAATGGCCTGAGACGGTATGTTCTTTTCAATGTGTGCTAATGTGTCGTGGTTCCTGTTCACACAGGATGTGAGTGTAGGCACAAGTGACTCCTAAACTGATTCTAGTTCAAATACGTGTCCTTGTGTTTGCGAAGGTGATCTGCAAGTCGGACGCTGCGACGGGAGACGTGCTACTGGACGAGGCCTTGAAGCACATTAAAGAGACCCAGCCTCCAGAGACCGTCCAGAGCTGGATCGAGCTGCTGAGTGGTGAGATAAGACATAACCAACCAAGCCTTACCTTTAAATACTCATTATTTCACCTGCTGGACGTCATTTTAACAGCTGATTTTGCTCTTTGTGTTGTCACAGTTCAGTTGAGACTTGTTGACGAAGAAGTACTCATTGATCAAATCAGAGTTCATGGGGATTTACGTTAACAATATTAAAACACATTTAATAATAAGCTTGAAGCAGCAGCATTAACGGTATTAAAATAAACCAAAGTGAGCCACTTTAGACGTTTAAAGTGTTAAAAGTGACATGGGGCCATGTGGCCTCAGTGTGTGTTTCAAAGACCTGAAGTAGATCTCATGCTGTCTTTTAGGAGAGACCTGGAATCCCCTGAAGCTGCACTACCAGCTGAGAAATGTTAGAGAACGTTTGGCCAAAAACCTGGTAGAGAAAGGTGTGCTCACCACAGAGAAACAAAACTTCCTGCTTTTTGACATGACCACACATCCGCTCACCAACAGCACCATTAAACAGGTAAGAGGTGGGGGTGTTCTGTGACTCTTTTGTAGCCTAATAAAGTCGTTTAAGCTTCATAAGTAATGGAATTAAAATGGCTCAAATGGGACTCTCGAAAGGTGAGAGAGGTGAAAAACTTCACGACACAAGCTGTATTTTCAAGGATTCAAGCATAATTTATTGTCATTATGCAACACGGGGATGCACAACGAAATGCCGCTGTAGTCCATTTTGAACACAAGATTCCATCTCCTCTCGTCCTTCCGGAGTCCTCCGCAAACTGAAATTACAGTGCATGTTTTGTCTGCTACAGCATGCAAACCTGCTGAGGTTAGCACAAAGATAGGTAGCATAAGCTTATGCTTTATATCAGGTTTGTTCAAAGACTCGTGTAAAAATGACAAGAAAGACATAATGTGGTAAGGAAGCTGTTTCCCTCTGCTTATAGTCTTTTTGCTAAGCTAAGCTAATCGTCTGCTGGCCGTGGCTTCCTATTTAAGAGTATGAGAAGGCGAATAAATGTGTTTCACAACATGTTGAACTACTCCTTTTTCATGTCGTTTCATGCATATACTGACTTTAAAACTCATGTCAACATTGCCTACAGCGCCTCGTCAAGAAGGTCCAGGAATCCGTTTTGGAGAAGTGGGTCAACGATCCTCACCGCATGGACAAGCGGGTTCTGTCCCTGATCCTTCTGGCCCATTCGTCCGACGTCCTCGAGAACGCCTTCGCCCCACTACAGGACGAGCAGTACGACCTGGGCATGAAGAGAGTCCACACTCTGCTGGAGCTGGAGCCGGAGAAGGAGAGCGCAAAGCCCAACGTCAACGAACTCATGTGGGCCGTGGTGGCCGCGTTTACTAAATGAAAAAACACCTGATTGGTTGGACTGGAAGATCTGGCTATGGTCTGTGTTATTGAATTGGTTGAAGGACTTCACATTAATGAGACAGACTTCACTTTAATGAGACAATCTATTTTGGTTGGGGAGCCTGTTTGTACATCTACTCCGGATGACATTTTGGTGGCAGTCCATATTAACCCAGTGCAATCTGATTGGTGGTGGGCTTCACCAAGTAACGTTTGGTTGGTTGGAACGAATAAAAACAAAAACGACTGGCTGCTTTCACACAGTGAGGTATATTATCTGCTGCTGCGAGGCTGGATATACGTATATTCATCAGCACTACCAACAGATGGGTTTCTGTTCATGTTAGATGACATCAAAGAACAAAAGCAGGTGGCAGCAGTAGTCCTGGTGAATATGAAGATTTTGACTGGGGGGCCAAGATTCCCTTCCTCACTAAGGGAACATCATCGCTACCTTTTTTTTTCTACAAGGTTTGGCCAGAATCAAATCCTGGTCTCTTCTCCATTCTCCCCCCACATGCTTATATGCAAGGATAAAGGTTAGCACATCCCACTGCTATCGATGCTCTTCAGCAGGTCTCCTGCTTCCACCGGTTCTTCCCCACCTGTTGGGAGGTCACGTTTTAGGGTTACTGCTAGATCAGACTACCTGAATGTTTTACTGAGTCACTCTTGTTTTCTTATTCAATTATCTTTCCTCCTTTTCCTCCTCATTGCATTTTGAAGAGGAAGTGGAGGACACAAATCACTATGTACTGGCCTGCATCATTAGCCCTCCTAAACCCTAACCCACATGAAGAAATAAACCTAGAGTCTAACAAAACTTTTTATCGTACTAGTTGCAATGGGTCCATTGTGTGTTTACAGAATGAGACTAGTCTTCCATTTCTATTTATGTTGCTAATCGATGCTTACAGTAGCCTGCCATTTATCAACTATTTTGCACAGTCAATAGTGGGGAGGGTCGTGTTCGTCGGGTTTTCTTGGGTTGAGTTCTTGAGATGACGAAGGTTGAAAGTTATGAACCGAAGCAACTATGGGTTAAATAAATAGATCTCATTTATTTTGTCTACAGCTCTTGATCTTTACGAATACTTTAAAATCATTCCTCTGGGTGGGTATATATATATATATGTGTATGTATGTATATGTGTGTATATGTATGTATATATATGTATGTGTATGTGTGTATATGTATGTATGTATATGTATGTATATGTATGTATATATATGTATGTATATGTATGTATATATATATATATGTATGTATATGTATGTATATATATATGTATGTATGTATATGTAT